CTCATTTTGTTCTCATTGATTCATTTATTCTTCGGATTCGTTATCGGTGTCGTTACGTACTGTACTGTATTGCATTTATCGTCGAACTGTTTGGTTCGTTAGCCTTTGAAGGATGCATTGATGAAGTTGGACGTGTAGCGTTTCCGCATTACTTAGTGAGCTAGGCTGGGTAAATTGTATGAACGCACTCAAACGTCTGTGGATTCTGAGAGTAGGACTAGTGCCAATTTCTCGGTTGATGTGTTGTAATTAACGCTTATTTGTCGTCATCAGTGTAGCTCAGAGGTAATGGACGCTTCTCGAGATTCCCGCGAGTCACCGAATTCTCATGACTTGCAGATAAAATCTGGTGGTTAATTTTGGCAATTTATTACAAAAATTAAGAATGAATTTCATTTTCTCACGAACATATCATTATGAAATAACCTGTAGGATAACATATTTTGACGCGTCTCTAATTTTAATCTCTACAAAGCATCAGAAGGAATTCAAAAAAAAATGCTTGTTCTTCAAATTTTCAGTGATGATCCGGGCTTGCGTTTTGCGTTAACCGTCGTTCGACTTATTAGTAATGTTCCCCATCAGTTTTGAGTCCACCAAAACCATTTTAAGCTCTCGGGTTGATCAGGACCAAAAGCTTTTCTGATAAAAAAAAAAAAAAATATTCAAGTGAGCGCCCATTCGATCAGCGTTTCTGCGCTTGCATTTATTATTTAATTTTCATTTCTTGCTTTGGGCGCGACTCGAATGAAGCAGAAGTTGCTTACAAAATAACTAGGGTACTTTTTCACAAAATCTGTGCTATGACTACGTTTATATAAGAAAAATTGAGCTCATTTTTTAAACCTAGTTCGTGGAACCTTCGTTTTTAGCATGGTCTGTCGAAGAATTTAGAAGGCAAAAAGTAGCATATTTTTACGCTCGTAGATGTCACTAGCGCATGAGGTCCAGGCGGGTTCTCGGAGGGAAACCAGAGCTTCCCTTTTGAAATTCCGAGCATGAAAATTTGAGGTTTCACAATAATATTGGAAAAATCCCTGGATGAAGAAGACCGATGATGTAATTTTACAATATGTGATCCGCTGTTTTTAATCAATCACGGATAGCTCTCAGATTCTGAGCCGCAATTGCAGAAGAAGTGCACAGGCACTATTTCCCTTGAAAACATTTTCATACGTTTTGTGCATCCGTAAATACATTACTGTAGTTTTGTCTGATTTTAAAACGTCTCCATTTTTACTTGGCAGAATTTGTGAGAAGATCCTCGTGCATCCGATGAACAGAGTCGCAGGTCAAATCGATGATGGAAACATATACTGTATTTATTTTTTCTCCTCACAGGCAAAACCCGGCGAGCCGTTGTACGCTCAAGTGAACCGAGAAAAGAAGAAGAATCGTCAGTTCGACGCGAGTGGCGCTCCGCCAGGCAGCTACATCGCGGGTCCTGGTGGGCACCAGCTTGCCCCGCACCCCTACGACGGCTCCGGCCCGGGCCCCGGGGACAGCATTCTAATGGACGGTCGTGGAGCTCCTCAGGAACCTGCGGGCGATTCCTGGGTCTGAGAAGAAATAGAAGCAAACTTTCAAAGAAAACAAAAGAAACAAAAAAAGAGAAAAAGAGAATCTTTCAAAGAGTTATGCGAACAAAATCCTCTGTCTGTTTTTCCCTCTTGGAGATTAATTATGACGTGGTGAGAGAAGAAGATGGTGGAGCGGTCAAGAAATCTTTTGGTTAATTTTCTGTTTTTTTGTCAATCTATAAATCATGGTTTTTTAAATATTAAGTGATTTATGATTCCTATAGAAGCGGGACTTCATATAGCTTGTCAATTTTGCCACTTCGAACATATGGCAGTGCTTTGGTACCAAGTTCCACCTGTTGATCGAAGTTAGATTCATGGCAGTGGTTTCCACCATTTTCATTATGTCTAGGCAACCCTCTGTATGGAATTTCTCAACTTCTTTTGGAAATTGAAAGAAATTTAATTCTGCTTCAGTTTCCAGTATTTATTTATTGATTTATTTTTCACTTTTGTACCACTGGATTTTTTCTAAGCCTAACTTTTACCGTGCTGACATCTCTTCTACCTCTACTGAAGAGGGTGCCTGTGTTTCACTAGTTGGAAAGCTGTTGTCTTAAACCTAAATGGATGAGAACTTCGATTCTGCTGAGAATTTCGTTAAGTTTGGTTCCACGTAAGGCAAAAATTATTGGCAAAAAGGTGGGAGTATTTTCCAAAAGTTTTCTTGGTCTTTTATGAAGCCGATTAATCATAACCTGTTATCTCCTATTTCCTGCTATGATATGGGGGATGAATCTCAAAGTCGAAGAAATAAGGATTTTGGATCTTTTGGACAATTGTGTGCCGGATTTTTTTTTAAATTTTTTGCTGGATTTTGAAGCAAGTCATTCGCGTTTCCCTGAAGTAATTCCAATCGCTGCTCGTTGACTGTCTTTGATTGGTTTGTATTTGAGGAGAGGTTTGCTTGTTACGCATGTGCTCCGGGCTGTGTTGGTGATTTTTTGGCTTGTTTTTTGCTTGTTTGATTTATTATCATTGTAATTTTTGGGTTCCGAGTGATTATTGACCTCTGGTTTTCGGTCTATTTGGGTTCCCAACGCTGCTGATAGGTTGAATTTTGGCTGGAAAGAGTTTTTCGTTCGGATTTGAGGCGGAGGGTCGGGATGTTTTGAAACTTGTGATCTGCATGGTGTTGGGATGCTTGTTGGGAGGGACATTTTGAGGCAAACATTCCGAACATCTCTTCCACCGAGGCTGCTCATTGTTCTTCTTGTCTCAATTTCTAACCTTGGTTCTTTCGCGGAGGGAAAAAAAAAGAAGCAGGCGAGTATTGAGCAGCAGGAGAAAGTCTTTCTTTTGATATCCGGCCATTGATTCTAGAGAACATTTGCTCCACTTTTTGAAGCCATAGATGTGATTAGAGAGGATTTTAGGTACATGCCGCTATTCCTGTTCACCCACTCAGCCTCAAAGCTCGATTTCAAGGATGCTCCGCGACCTGTCAGCAATAATGTCTCTTTGGGGATGAGAATTTGCTTGCGTATATTTTAACACGCGTTTTGATTTTACTGTTTCGTGCTCGTGTTTGTTTTGTTATTCACGCGATGCGTGCAGCTGGGAAACGTTCCAGACACGGGCGCCATTGCGGTTCCCGTAATATCATAATCAAGTGTTTGAAGGAAAGCGAAACGAAATATTGCAAATGTGTTCTGGGATTATGGAAAATGCCGGAAGAAAAAGAAAGAAATCGTAGTGTCGGAAATATTTGCGCGATTTGGGGATGGATCAGAAAGGGAACTGTATTGCGGAGCATTTGTGGAAGGAGAAAACCGCTCGGTTTTGCCATTTTCTGTTTGTCACATTGTCATATGGCTTTTTGATTTGTTCAAAAGCCTATTGCGAATGGCGGAAGAGTTTTTCGTGGTTCCAATGCTCGACTGAAGTTTAGTTATCTTTTGTTTCTGTACATTGTTGCATCAGATGCAGGTTTATCTCGCGTATCGGTGATTTTTGTATAATAAAAAGTCCTATGATCTTTTTCTGGAACGAATTTGGTGCGAGTTGGTTTTTTGATTCTTTTTAAATTTATGGTTCTAGTTTACAGGGGAAGAAATGTAAGAACAGGCAAAATATATTTTGGAGAAAGCCCAAAAAGAAAGTTGGTTCCTACAATTCTGGGAATTTTTTGAAACTGCTGACCTCACCAAGATCAATCAGAGAAGTATGCAGAATGAAGATATACAGCAGTCAGACTGACATTCTTGAAGTACATCTGAATGTTGCGCGCACTCCCAGTAATTCTGAGTATTTGAATTTTCTTCTTGAGGATTGTTCCACACATACATTGTACCTGCATATTACATTTTCGTATCAAGTATAAACAGTTGTAAGCATTGCACAGGCTGTTGATGAGCTTTGCTCACAGAAATGGAACTTTTTCTGAGGCTGATACACAATTTTTGATGTAATTTTACAAATTATTTGTTGAGTTATGAGGAAAGCCACCCACTAGAAAATGAAAATCTTGCACAATATTCCCCAAATACGTGAACTAAACTAACATGAATTATGGTTCTTTGTCTTCCCAATTGAAAGACACTTCGTAACATTTAGCTTGTTCAATTAATTATTTTTGCCCAGATAATTTTCTCAGCAAGTTTTTCTTCGGATGGATTACGGTGCAGTTTATTCAACTTTGGTCATGAGCTTATTCCATCTTTTTTCTTCAATGAATTGCTGGCCCATTCAAAAAGGAAAGATAATCGCAATTAAATTATGAAATTACACATGAAAGTGTTGACAACTGAATAAGGTCCTGTTGAAAAATTCCTACGAATTATAATTCAAATATGCAAAATGAAATGGAAATTTGTAGGTTTTTCATTCCCCCCCCCCCCTTCCGCTGCAATTCATTTTTGGTTGTTGCATGTACTGTACAGTACTTGTTTTACATATTCACCTCACAACTGCTTCCTATATGGTGTCAGCATTCCAGTAGTTATTATAATACTTGGGTAGCCTTACTCGGAACTATCACAATTTAAGGTGGCAGCTTCATCGATTTTTGAGATTTGGCTCCACATTGCTTCCTTTTTTACCTTAAATTTTTCGAAATTTTGCAAATTGATTCTCATCATTTTAAAATACGCTTTTCATGACTTAACAATTTTATGGTGGTTGAGAAGGGTCTGTGGGTCATACAGGTAGGTTCTGACCTGCGCTGGCTGTATGTTGGACTCGGATCTAGATAGTGATTTTTACTAGTGAGATGATTATTGCCCGACTGTTGGGCTCCTTGGTGATTTTCCTATACACAGGTCATATTTGTACAGTATATCGTCATCTATTAACATTATGTGTTCTGATGAACAGTTCTTTGATGAAATAGACTGTGAAAGGATCTTTTTAAGTGATCCAACTGTACAATTACTGGCGATGAGGGAACAATCAATCCGCATGAAATAAAAAGGAAAGTACTGTATTTTAAAATATGAGATCGATTTTTTTGACAGCCATCAAGAACTACCAGACTGCTGCGCATTTTGAAGCTGTTTAACAACAGAACTTGGAATCTTGTCAAATTTGGCATCAAGTTCGGCACTGCTAAAATCAAATCCAGGATTCTGCAGAATAAACAAAAGTTGCGGTCAATTGAAGCTGTGAGTTTGTTCGTGGATTCCAAACCAACCTCCATCTGAAATTTTTCCAAGTCAAGCTTCTTCTGCATCGCAAAATACACTTCCGGTGTGGCAACATATTTTCCGTCAAGCAAACTTTCCCACACTTTCTCCGAATTGGCAAAGTCCGTTGCTTTCACAAGTACAATCCGTAACAAAACGCCATCTTCAAGGGTCCACACAGTTTCATCACCTCGGACTGTGTCCCTCAGTTTACCCTAGAACATAATACCACAATAAAAGGTTGTTGTCTCTAAGCATAATTACGCAAATAACTCACCTCAAATACAAGGTTTCCGGACACGCAGCATTTTATACGCGAGGGAGTGACATCTACCGCGATCTGCTTCGCCCGAGTGCCTTTCTCAATTTTGACTTCAATTGTCACT